AAAGGGAAACCGGCGTAGGAAGTGCCATATGCACTTTCCTTGCCGGTACGCAATGTTTGGTGAATCGGGAAGTGGCGGAAAATGTATGAACCTATTTTTCGGTTTTCTACTACGTAGGCAACCTTCCCACGTGAATCCTACGCACGGCGTTATACATGAGGCCCCTGACCTGTAATTGACTTGGGTCTTTAGTCTTGACTCCGGATTTGTTTGGAACTTGACTTGTTACTTGAATTAGGTACTTGACTTTGTACTTGACTTGGGACTTGACTTGGTACTTGACTTGGGACTTGATTTGGGTTTTGCCTGCCTCTGAACTTGACATTGATTGGGACTTGACTTGTGACATGATTTTGGACCTGATTTGGGACTTACCTTTGGATTTGATTGGTACTTGACTTGGGATTTGATTATGTTTTGAGACTTACTTAAGACCTGTTGAACAGTGACTTTGTCCCACCGCTGAATGGTTTGAAACTGACATGCCAGTATGGTTAAGTCTGCTTGTGTCTGCATTGTCCAAATCTGGCTTGGACATTTAATTGATACACATTTATCTATAGTTGTAATATATAGCAGAAGAGTATGGACTGTTGGCCAGGACATTGCTTTGTTTGTAGCCTTTATTTAACCAGGTGAAAGCCCCTTGAGATCAAAAGATCTCTTTTTCAAGGGTGACCTGCAGAATATGATATACCTGCTTTGATATACTTCATAAATAAACTGTATGCCAGCATGTTTTTTTCCACATTTGTGTTTACGCAGCTTTTTTGAACTATCAAAAGTTTATAATGTATATATATAGAAATTGTATTTATTGGGATAAACCCCTTGAGATGCACCATCTCGTTTTCAAGGGGGTCCCGATGTAGAGCCTTGGGAGCTGTCAGTGAAAATATAAATACTGCCTGAATTCAGTCCTTGAAACCTGTTATCAGGAAGGATGTTTTTAAAGTGTAGCTTTGACTAGTAAAAGTGATGGATTCATTTCTGCACACTTGCATCAATCCGACAGAGAAGAAAGGACCTTGTCTTGTGGCTGACGATGCAATGCACCCAAAAGCTCTTTGGGGGGTCACATGGCCAGCATTTGGTGTGGGGAAACCTTTTCCTTTACTGAGAGGCCACACAGAGAATTTCCTTTTCTTTCCAGCAAAGCAATCAAAGCAAAGGACAAGTATTAATTTGTTAATGTTATATGCTGTTAAGTAATTCTGGACCTGATGATTAACCAGTTAGTGATTGATTTGTGCAGAACCAATTCATGTTTTCTCTCAAACTCCAGCGCATTTTTAAACATGGTGGAAATAATCCCTTGGACTTCTTTTCCCTTTATTTACATGTGTTTTAAATGGTTGTATTATAGTTGATGTACCTCTGCAAAGGAGGTTAAGTCTTCAAATTGCTTTGTCTCTCGGAGGGTTTCCGAAAAAAGCACTGGCCAATGTTCATGATACTTGCAGGTAGGGTGTAGAATGAGCCAAGAAATAACCCATTACATTTGGGAACAGAGCCGAATCACAGTCCGGAACATGAACTAAGTTTCACTTTCTTTAACATTGCGAGGTATTGAATTGTAAGATTGCACTATATAAAAGGCAATACAAAAGTTTAAAAAAAACACACATTCAAGGAGGTCTCTTGTGGCAAATAAATAATGGGGAAGACAATTTATGACTACTCTCTGTTGGAATGATCTACTTTTAGCGGCCTTCTAAACCCAGAGTGTTACCGCGAGCCAAACAGTAACTTAGTGGACTGCTGACAGCACTGTGGCCTGAGCTGCCCTGTGCCTCCTCATCCTCAGAATCGATGAAGTGCACAGCCTGTCATAAATTGTTAGAGAATATTGCTGTGCTCCAGACAAGAATACGCGCCCTGAAGAAGTCTGATCTGAACTCAACGACACTCTGCTGGCGAGTTAGTTAATCAGGATTGAACTGGACAAGATTGAAATGGACATCGATCTGTGCGAATGGGATTTCTACCTGCTGGGAGAATACGGTTGTTAAACGTAAGGATAAGACTGTACTACCAGGAAGTCAAAATGTATGGACTTAGTGCTGCCAACTCACGAAAAGAACAGAAAAATCCTTAAATGAGGAATAAAACACGACATGATTCTACATGTGGGGGCCAGTAATGTCTGCAAAGGTCAATCAAATGTGCCAAAATGGGATTTCATTGAGCTGCTTAATTGTCTGGACAACCTGGAGGTTATTTATATTATTGGACCACTGCCAACGGTCAACATGGGATCAACAAGTTCAGCAGACTATGAGGGCTCAGCAGAACTATGCAGTCTGAAAGGGATCAATTATATTGATAACTTCCATCTGGCATCTCTTCAGGCCAGATGGCCTTCACTACCCATCGGAGAAGACTCGCCCTGACACACAGCAGCCTCAATGTGGCGAAGACATGACATCACAGCCTCAGTGTGCTTACAACCAGCTCATGGATCATTTTTCTAGTTCTTCACACAGAGGAGTGGAGGATGCCACGGTCACCTTATGTGACTTACTTTTTAAACACTTGGAGGGAATTGGATCTCATGCTATTTTATTTGTTGATTTTTCCTCTGCTTTTAACACAATTCAACCTCATATTCTAATTGGCAGACTTTTAGAACAATTTGAAATAAGCAATAATCTTATGGGCTGGATTCTTGATTTTTTAACCAATAGGACACAAAGAGTGAGGGTGAATGGGACCTTATCTGATCAAGTCAGCTCCTCCACTGGCTGTGAAGCTGTGTGCAAAAGGGGGCACCAGCGTTTGTACTGTCTTACATGATGATCATGTTTTATCGTGCTTTTATCGAGTCAATTCTGTCTTTTTCACTAATGTCATGGTTTGGTAACCTGACTTTAAAGAGCAGAACCTCTCTGAGTCAGATCGTAAAGTGGTCCAGCAGACTGATGGTGAGCCACAGCTAAACCTGGAGACCCTGTACCTCAGGTAGTTACAGCGGTTATCCAGCTCCATATTAGACGATGACTCCCACCCTCTGCACTCAGAATTCAAGCTTCTTCCTTCGGGCCGGAGGTTACTTGTCCCAAGGAGTAGAACGAAGCGGTATAAAAACAGTTTTATCCCAGCAGCTATTGCACAAATTAACACATCATAGGAGCGTCACACAGATGCCTATTTGTATTTATTTATTTAATTGTGAATTTTTAATGTCCATGTTTGTACTAGTGTTTTCCTTCTTAAAATGTTTTTTTTTAAAAATATTTTGAGATTTGGTTGAGCAGGGTATACTTGTACTTGTACTTTTACTAGTCCTTTATTAGAGATGTGTCTGTTGTTTGTGTTTATTTTTAGTGTCAGGATGGAACCCTTGTCTTTTTCTCTGCAAACAGAATCTACCTACGGGTACAAATAAATAACCTGAACCTGAACCTGAACTTCTTTTCTTCACACTCCCCTGCCTCACCCCCTTTGGAATAGACTTGTAAAAATGAATGTCACTGCCTTATTCTATTTTGGCATATTTTCATCTGATATTGTCATTTTATCTAATTTTATCGACTTCAATTTCTAAACATATTTCTCGATTGCCTTCTGTGTCATTTAAAGCAGTTTGAGTGGCCTTTTTGATGAAAGGAAAGTTGCTATTAAATCACCTCTTCTGTGGTCTTTGTTAATGACAGATGGGACTTTCCATCACCCAGGGAGAGATGTGTGGGGCTTTTGAGATGAAGTCATCTCAGGTCCTTCTAATCTCACTTCCCCTTAAACATATTTGGTCAGATTTCGGCTTTATCAAATTGAATCGGTGTCAAGGGGAGAGACTGAATTAGCACTTAATATTATCTATCTGGGCCCATTTAGAATTTCCTATTGCATTGGAGAAATTGAGAAAATGTGTTTCTCTCTCTTCCCGTAAAACAGGGTAAGCTACTTAGCTTCATTTTTTACTTCAAAATCAGCTTTTTTCAACTTTTCTCTCACAAGCTTATATGTTATTTTTAGTGCTTTTACAAATGTCCAAGAAATAGGAAGGGATTCCAAAACGTATTGGTAAACACCAAAGATGATTTTAAGTGGTGCTTTTGTCTTAGTTGAAAAAAAAATAAGGTTAAGTCAACAGCCCTGCTTAAAAATATATGGAATCTTCATTGCATTTATCAGCATTTCTGGCCACTGCACAAGATAATTGATGAAATGGTCTAAACGGATATTTGTTGTCATTGCCGTGACAACAAAAGTGCAGCAGGTCAACCACAAGGGTTATACACTCGAGGGTCTTCAGTTGAATACCTGCAAAACAGACCTGACTTTAGAAACTGCTGTCTTTTATCTCTCTGGTGTCAAGTGTCAGGATGATGCTAAGACAAGTTACAGGTGCATGTGAACACACGCAGCAGAAATACCCACGAATCGCACCGGATATACAAATGTACATTTACCGCAGAAACAAAAAGGGGAACTTTATTACACTAATACACTTGCAATCGATGCAAATTATTATTATTTATTTTGTGCCAGGAACAGATGTTGAATTGGACCCATTTTACATATCTGAGTCACCTTCATGTGTCATGCTGCAACATTTTCCACTTGCATGTCCTCATAATCTACTGACGTGTCAAAAGGCCTTGCGTTATAGGTGCATGACATTAAATAGGAACTTTAAATAAAGTTTTTGGAAGAAATTGTGGCCAAGACCAAAATAAGTACATGACACTTAAGAAACGGAAGTATAGAAGTTTAATCCTCTTGTCTCAACTAAAATCTGCTGTGGGCCTCTTCACATGACGTAGCTATCCAAGGCAGATGAGATGGCTTGTCATTTAAAAAAAAAGAAGAATATTGTGTCTTTACCACTTGACTACTAAAATGCTATTAACCAGGCTTAAAATAATCTCTGGTCAATGATTCTAGAGCTATTTATCGTAAGTGTGTTGCTCAGTATGCCTCTAACTTTAAATAGTCTGCCACACGACAGATGTTTGCGTGACCAGCTTCAGCCTCGTACAGAACACAAAACCACTTCCTTTTCTTTTTATAGTTCAAATGGAGAAGTAAGCAGAAGACAGACGGATGGTAATGCCATTTATTTGGATTCCCATCATTTGACATAGTTCCTTTACACACCGCTCATCTCTCTTTACTCGCCGTACGTTTTTATTATTTGATTAAACCATATTCTTCTTGGAAATAAATCAAGATCATCAGCAATGTAAGTGCCATTTATTAATACTTTTGTGTTTGAGATATGTAAATTCTGACATCATGCAACAGAGAAAAATAGTATCAACTTAATGTTTAGGCCGGTAAGACTTCTAAGAATAAGGAATATGTTTTAACGTGTTGATAGTGTTTTTGTACGGTTCTGTTCTAAATCCTGATGATAAAATATACTTTTTACACTGTTTTCTACATACAAAATACACAGTATACGGTATAGCAAATACAGTACAGTATGGGCTTAACTGTCACTTTAGCATGAATTTACATCAGTTTTAGGAATTTGCTGTACAATTACAATCATGTCTTCATAATTATGTCCCCAAAACAATGCACCAAATATAGTTTTGAAGAACTTCTGTAAATGAGTAAGTGATGAATCTGAAATGAATCAACTACTTTATTGGAAACTATGGCGAAACATTTCAAACAAAACAAAAAAATGCACTACATTGTGAAAGCTAAATTGCGTTTTTGTTTTAAGTGATGCAGCTGGTTCCAATGTACATGTATATATGTATGTATGTATTTATGTATGAAATTAAACTTATGGATAATATATCATCACACATCACAAATGGTCCATTTCAGAATACTAAATATTACAATGACGAATCATAGGATTGGTATACTTAAATCAGTGGGTAAAAGTTGGGCTATTTATAACATGTACTGCTGGGTAGCGTCATATTATATTTGTGTTAACATATATTAGTTTTTTACAAGGCAACATTTGCCTTCATGATTTAGTATTAAAAACACTGTATAAAGTAGCATCAAATAATCAATATAAGAAAATGAGTGACTGTGGACAATATTAGTTTAATCGCAGAACAAAACGTAAAAGTGTATTTGTGGTGAATCACGAGTATTGTGTTGCAGAAGTGACAAAAAATAGTTCTTTTTTTGCAAGTACGGATATTATCATGTCAGAAAGACCAGACTCACACATCTAATACTTAAGTTAATGTCCATAGTAATAAATGACTCATTTTTATTTGGCTAAAGCTGCCCCATTGATTATAAAGTGAGGTACTGTGTCTGAGCTTCCTGCTAACTGTTCTTCCTGTATCAAATCTGCATTTCAAAACCTATTTTTTTACTAAACAGCTATCTTGTCTTCTCAGATAGCAACATGAAGGGACTGCTCTTCCTGTTGTGCTGCGTAGAACTCCTTGGTTCACTATTGTGCGGTGCTGAAACGATCGCAGGAACTAGTGCTGCTGAAAATCTGACTACTACAGATCCTGCCTCAACTACTCAAGAAGACAATTCAACTGCAGACTCCACTTTACCAACTTTTCAAAAAACATCCCTACCTGATCACACAAGTGAGGCCAACAATCAGTCTGAGTCACCTTCACCAGGCTCCCTGGACTTCAGCAGTCATAGCACTTCAATGCCATCTGGCACACATCGGCCCACCACCATTTATACTACCACCACTTCCACCACCACCCCTATCAATATGTACAGGAAGGAATGCCTTCCATTGTTCATGGTGAGCGGCGGACTGATCATAGCGTGTACCATTCTGCTGGTTTCTACTCTGCTGTTGATATGGAAGGTGTGCCAGCAGAGCAGACACATCAAGGCGCTGAGCAGCAACGCAGACCTGATCAGCACCTCCGAATACTGGATGGGAACCGCCAAGAGGAACAAAAGCGCATCAGAGCTAGAAGCCAAAGAGAACACAGTGTTGATGTCTGACATTGGTCAAACGCAGGAGGAGGTGGGTAATGGTACCACCAAGGAAGAAGGCGGGAAGGTAAAGGAGGATGGACCAAAGGAAGAGAAGAAGAAGGAGGAAACTGCAAAGAGTGAAGTTGCTGAAAAGGCCTCAAAGCCACAAGAAGAAGCCACTGACTCCAAGTCCACCGAGGCCGCATCCGCCTCCAACTGTAAAGGCACTGAGGAACCAAAAGATAAAGTCTAGGGTTAAATGTGTGTTCAATGTGTTTCCTGAGCACCTGCCTTTACTTCCCTATAGCTTTATAATACAGTAAATAAGGGATTCTTTTTTTCAGCAGCATTTGCTTTACAGGAAGTCGATCAACCGCAGCTAGATGTGTCAAACTGTGCACTGAGCATTTCCGCTTAAAAACAATTGGTTGGTACTATACTTCTTTGTTATTAGTGATGTGATTAGTGATTAGTTATATTGAAATGTATCAACGGGATATTTTACCTTAATATTATTGCTTTCAATTAACTGTGTACCATCAAATACTCGTCACCAGTTTCCTTTTCAAAGAAGAATAAGCTGGTAGGTGGATCTTAGACGCCCTTAATCCTTAAAATGATTGAAGAGGGTGAGTTGTATAAACATCAGCACTGTCCCGTTGTAATGAACAGGTACATTAGATAAAGACACCAACTTTTTTTTTGTTCCAACCTGTAAACATGATTATTTCTGCTTTGGCGTTTTGTAATGGTGGTGTATGGAGATTGACTTACTTTCGAGCAAGCGTCAGGTGGCTAATCGTGCAGCTTTTGGCACTGATACATTGTCTTAATTTTTCACCTGAAAGTGGCCCCTTGAATTCTACTTCCAGTTTGTAAAGTGATATTTTGATATAGTTTTGCTGTCATTATTTACTTTTCACTTTTCTATTTACAATACATAACAAATGTTCTTTTTTGGGGATCTTCCTGTGCCATGAAGGCATTTGAATAAAAAGAAAAATAATAGTGGTCGGTAATTATAAGTGGTCATTTTGTAGGTAATTCTTTTTATATAATAATATGTGTCATAGTCAATATGTGTTGTGAAAAACCTTTTGAGATGTACTGTTTTGACATACGCAACAAAAAGGGGAATAAAACCCGTCCAGAGAAACCTCAGTCCTGAATTATTTTACCATGCAGCCACTTCCGATGTTGTGTGTGTTTGAGAGAGAGAAAGAGAGAAAGAAAGGTTTGCTTGATTAGCATGCAGAGAAAGGGCCTCCTCCACACAGTGCCACTCAACTCAGAAAGAACGCTCTCTTCCACCTCAGCCAGAGCTGACAAGGCCATACAAAAAAACTTTTCAAAACCAAATATGCGTTTGTTTCCATCGTCCTGCACAGATATTTGTTCATTTGGTTGCTTGTGACGTCATGATGGATGGGTACTCTTCATTAAAAGTCTGAACAGTGTGTCCCTTCTCAATGCAGCTCCTGCTTCAACCCCATAAAGCAGCGGGAGTATGGGATTAGTTTTGTATCATAAAGATAAAGCAACACTTTCTCAGAATAAAGCAAAACTATGAGTTTAAAAGAAAAAGAAAAAAAAATCAAGCAAAATAAAAAAAAATTCAAAATAAATAAAACTATAAGTTGCAAGGCAAGGCAAGAAAAGTTTATTTATATAGCACCTTGCAACACAAGGCAATTCAAAGTGCTTTACAAAAAACGAAAGACATTAAGAAAATGCCATTTAAAATCAGTCATTAAAAAGAAAAGATAATAAAATAAACATTAAAAGAAAAAATACATGGATAAAAGTTACAGTGCAGTCTAAGATATGAATAGTTCAATTAAAAGCAGCGACAAAAAGAAAAGTCTTCAGCCTGGATTTAAAAGTAGTCAGAGTTGCAGCAGACCTACAGGTTTCTGGGAGTTTGTTCCAGATATTTGGAGCATAATAACTGAACGCTGCTTCTCCATGTTTAGTTCTGACTCTGGGGACAGAAAGCTGACCAGTCCCTGAAGACCTGAGAGATCTGGATGGTTCATAATTTAGCAGGAGGTCATAAATGTATTTTGGGCCTAAACCATTCAAAGCTTTATAAACCAGCAGCAGTATTTTGAAATCTATTCTTTGACACACAGGAAGCCAGTGTAAAGACTTCAGAACAGGAGTGATGTGATCCACGTTCTTAGTGTTAGTGAGGACTCGAGCAGCAGCGTTCTGATTTAGCTGCAGCTTTCTAATAGATTTTTTAGCGAGACCTGTAAAGCAGTGTGCGAACTATACCACGGTCTCCGTGGGAGCCGGGATTTTTTTTTTGTTGCGGGGGGGGGGGGGTAAATGCTGATCCGTGCATTAATAGCAACAGCACAGACATAGGCCTATTCTAAAGAGAAAATCTGTTGCACACGGGGTGGTGCCACAGGTCTACATTGACATGAAACGTCCCGATGGATCATGTTCATGTCAACAGATTTCCCGAGCATGTATGGGCTACGCAAACTTCAATCAACTTGATAATAAATAATCCACGGACCACCAATGTAACGTTTGACTGTTTAATTAAATCAACTTAAAATGACTCAAAAACAGGCTACATTGTTTCACATGGGCTATAGCCTATTATGGCTGTAGCCTACACAGAGCCGAACACACGCGATAAGAGCAGCCAGCGGCACCAACCATGAACAAGAATATTAATATTAATAGTACAGCTATAGCACAACACAACCCTCTCACTGCCTGCAGAGACGCGACGCCACACACACAACACAACGATGCACATAGATCTTCAGCCCCCAAGTTAACGTTAGCTGTCAAGTTAGCGCTATCACTGACGTTAGCTCCCTCCTCTCTCGGTTCTGTTGTAGCAGCAGTCACAACGTACGATGTGCTACCACCAGCTACATTCGGTTGGTCTTCTTGATCAGGTTGTTTGGCCGTCTTTTTAAAGAAATTGCCCAAGGTAAGTTGTTTTTTTCTTTTCGACATGTCAGCAGCAGCAACAATGCCTGGTAAACATGCAGTGCTAACTAAACGAGCTTGTGAGTGAGTGGGTAGTGGGTGGAGCTGCGGGCAGCGTGCAAGCAGGCGACACTTTTTTCATGAATCATAAACTCTAAATATAATTTTATTTCACTTATTTTACACCTTTGAAAAAAAAAAACCATGCCCAAAATAGAATTTATTTGGTCATCATATCAGTATTTTAGAGAGCTCCCCCCAAATTTCACAAACCATGTTCCCAGGGGAGCTCATGTCACCACTAGGGGAGCTATACAGTAGCTCCCCCTGCTCCCCTCCAGTTCGCACCCTGCTGTAAAGACACCATTACAGTAGTCCAGTCTACTGAAGATAAAAGCATGGACAAGTTTTTCCAAATCCTGCTGTGACATTAGTCTTTTAATCCTAGATATATTCTTTAGGTGATAGTAGGCTGATTTAGTAACTGTTTTAATGTGACCGTTGAAACTCAGGTCAGAGTCCATGACTACACCTAGATTTCTGGCTTTATCTGTTGTTTTGAACATTGCAGACTGAAGCTCAGCGCTAACTTTTATACGTTCTGCCTTGGCTCCAAAAACCATTACCTCAGTTTTATCTTTGTTTAATTGGAGAAAGTTCTGACACATCCAGTCATTAATTTGTTCAATGCACTTACTCAGTGTTTCAATTGGAGCATAGTCTCCTGGTGAAATTGTTATGTAAATGTATGTGTCATCCGCATAGCTATGGTCACTTATTTTGTTGTTTTTCATTATCTGAGCCAGTGGTAGCAAGTAGATGTTAAAGAGAAGATGCCCCAAGATGGAGCCTTGAGGTACCCCACATGTCATATTTGTCAACTCAGATGTGTATTTACCTATAGAAACAAAGTTTTTTCTGTCCTTTAAGTAGGATTCAAACCAATTTAGAACTGTTTTCGAAAGTCCCACCCAGTGTTCTAGTCGGTCGAGTAATATGTTGTGGTCAACAGTGTCAAACGCAGCACTGAGATCTAATAATACTAACACTGAAGTTCTGCCACTGTCTGTGTTTAAGTGGATGTCATTGAAGACCTTTACAAGAGCAGTCTCAGTGCTGTGGTTTGGACGAAAGCCTGACTGGAACACATCGAAACAACTATTTAAATGCAAGAAATTACTCAACTGTTGAAAAACAACTTTTTCAATGATTTTACCTAGAAATGGGAGGTTTGATATGGGCCTGTAATTGTTCATTACTGAAGCATCTAGATTATTATTTTTTAAGAGCGGTTTAATGACTGCAGTTTTCAGGGCCTGTGGAAAAATACCTGAGTGAAGAGATTTGTTTACTATATGAAGTAGATCTGAGGCCATGCAACGAAAAACATCTTTGAAAAATCCTGTTGGAATAATATCAAGGCAGCAGGAGGAGGATTTCAGAAGTTGAATAATGTCCTCTAGGTTTTTATCATTAATCTGATGGAATTGTGTCATGGTGTTTGAATTGATATTAGGTGGACACAGGGACAACACATTTGCTGTACCTGATGCAGAGGCACTGACTGCTTGTCTGATTTTCTGAATTTTGTCAGTGAAGAAGGAGGCAAAAATCATTGCACGCCTTGGTGGATAGAAATTCAGAGGCTACTGACACTGGGGGGTTAGTTAGTCTGTCGACGGTAGCAAACAAGGCACGTGCATTGTTTTTGTTTTAGGCAATGATGTCAGAGAAGAAAGACTGTCGTGCGTTTTTCAATACTAAATTATAAAGGCCAAGTCTGTCTTTATAGATTTCAAAGTGAACCTGGAGATTTGTTTTTCGCCAGCTACGTACACATCCGGTGATTTGCAAACAAATCATTTGTGTAATCATGTAAACTATAAGTCTTTTTTCTTTGTTTTAACATAGGTTTTTGTTTGCAGTTCTTGTTTCTTCTTTCTCAATGATCAGACTTTTGCTCTCGCTGCAGCTCTCTCGTTTGCGCTCCCTCATTTTTTGTTTGAGATTTTGACACAAACATCCCAGGTGGGCGGGACTTTCAGGGGTGTGTCCCCATTGGCTACTCAGCTTTTGAGTGACAGCCCACTACACCACAGATCATACAGTGCAACTCATGCAGCAAACTCCGGAGTCCACTCGGCCACGTTAGTGTTGGTGTCTCCTGGGGGGGTTTCATGAACATATCGGACTTATCTTATAGATTGCTGTGCATTATACTTGTGATGTGTAGTTCATACTTTATTCCAACTTTAAATATTTTAATACCTGAACACACTGCTGCTGTTAAATAATTTCCCAATTTGGGATTGATAAAGTGTCTGTCTATTTATTTTATAGATTAAAAAAACACATCTATGTATTTTCAAGCTAAAGGTGATACACAATATAAACTGTATACTATTATTTTTCAAAGACATGTTACATTTCAAAAGCATATATTGCTATGTTTAGGACAAACAATTAAAGACTGCTTTAATTGAACAAATTCTGCAATATAAAAGTGGCAGATTTGCTTTATTAAACAGACCAGACCTAGGTTGCATACCAACACAAGGAACATGCTCACATCTTACTATGTTGGTCTGAAGAGCTGAAGCATTCATACACAATGGATACAAACTGTGTTGTCTCATTCTATATCCTGTGAGAAAATGATGTACATTTAGCATTAAAAATTCGACATACTATTCCTAGAAGAATATGAAGATATGAATAATCAACAGATAATCAACAGATTTGAATGGAATCTCTAACATTTTCATGTAGAATAAAGACAAAAGAGTGATTATACAAATTACATTTATTGAAATTTGAACCAGAAGATGAAGTCTCAAAGAATGTTTTAAACAAAAGGACATAAAACAAAAAGGTGGATAATAATAAAATCTATTAAATGTATATGTAAAGACATTTGGTCAAATGAAATGACACTGGCTTGTTTGAGACGAGTTGCGGCTCGCCTCGAAAGTAGACGAGAATAGCCGATCGCAGCCGGGGGAGGTCTCAAAAAGCTCGCCTGAAGTCGGACAGCTCGGAGTCGGCTTCTTCTTCTTCTTCATCATCTTCTTCTTCTTCTTTTCTCGTTTTTTTTGCAGATTGCAAACAACTTTAAGGTGCATACCGCCACCTCCGGAGTCGGCTTGACTCGGTTTGCATTTATAAAGAATGCACACATGTGTTTAATCGTTAATGTCAGATATGTACTAAGTAAATACATTTGTTCCTGCTCAAGATTAGATTCAACTTTATTGTTATTGCACAGATTACAGGTACTGAGAAAACGAAATGCAGTTTAGCTTCTAACCAGGTGCAACAAGCGGTAAAGTGAAAAGTAATGTACACAATAGACAGAATAAAATATAGAATGAATTGAATGATGAATAAACAGTGAGGGGTATGAATACACTAGATATACACAGCATGTATGAATATGCTAAGATATATAAAGTATGAAAACGGTAAGCAGTGCAAGTATAGTATAAAATATATGGATATTCATTTCATGATGATAAACATTGTGGAACAATGATAAAAAATGTGAATGGAAGTGGCGACGTAAAACTGACACAAAACAACAGCAAACTTTTGCCGAGCCAATTGGAGAGTTTCATCACCAGCACGTGGTAAAAACCACAAATGAGCGCTCAGCTCGAGATACCAGCGAGTCCAGAGCCCTAAGAGGCTTCTCAATACTCAAATTTCCCCTCCTCGGTCCTCCGGTAGTGACCCGGAAATGAATTTCAGCGCGCCATTTTGAAGGACGTCTCATTTCTCTAAATGCACACCGAGGACCGAGCATCGAGCGTCGAGGAGGCTCTCTGGAGGAGCTATAACCGAGGATACACTGATGGTTCCTCCACGGCTCCTCCGCGGATGCATTTCCGGGAACGGTGGAGGCGTGACGCACGGCCGGACTTATCTCAGCCAATGACAGCTCTGCATGCATCCTCTGGATATTATTTTAGAAACTGCTTTCATCGCGTTGCGAGTGAGAACAGCTGTGGGGTCCATGCAGAAAGCAGAGCAGTGTACAATATCACTCAGTATAACAGGCCTACATTACTCTCTTTATTTGCTGTAGTACAAAGAGTCGATATTTTTCTAAGACCATTTAGTGCTTCACATAATAAAATACACAACGGCTGTAGCCTGATTATGCTTTAGGAGCTGTAAGTGTGTGTTGTAGGCAGTGTGTATGTGTGTGTGGTACAGTATGTAGGTGTGTGTTGTACAGTGCGTAGATGCGGCGGACAGACGGGTCTCAGTTGGTTTGGTGTCCTCTGCTTACTTTTAATTTAATTTAATTTCAAATCTTTATTTATACAGATAAATCCCATTCAGATCATTGATCTCTTTTTCAAGGGAGACCTGCTCAAGTAGTTCCACATGAAACATAAAAACATAAATAGAACAACAAAAGGACATCATACAGCATCATTTACATAATTATCCACATAAACAGGTACCAATAGCTTCCGATTGACTAGCATCCAACCGAGCTTTAAAAACATTTAGTGGCACCAGATTGTTCAGTTTCCATTTAATTTGCATACTATTCCAAGACAGAGGAGCTGCGCATCTAAAAGCTGTCTTCCCTAAGACAGTCCTAGCAGTTGGCACATTTAATAAAACTACAGCATTCGATCTCAGGCAGTAGCCACTTACAATTTTCCGTGAGATCAGGGAGCAGATATAAGACGGAAGTTTCCCTAACATGGCTTTGTATGTTAGGGAAACTTCCATCTTATATCTGCTCCCTGATCTCACGGAAAATTGTAAGTGGCTTATTATTATTACAAGTTAATACTTGTAAATACAACTTTTGGCCCGTAATTTCAATTCCCCATTTCAGCGACCAGAGAGAGGGGGGATATATCCAGTCTCTGATTGTGTTACGTTATTATGAGAGTGCTCTCATACTTTAAATTGTATATATTTATATACATATATTTGTGTGTGTGTGTCCGCATCTGTAGCCTGTTATTGTCTCATTATACCGCACTCTCAATGAATTCAAAGTAAATATGTGGGGGAACAATGTTCAGCTGATCTAACAGAGGTTATAAAATACAGCGCTATGACAAAACACTCGACAGCTGATGCAGCTGTTGCCACGTAATAATGAACGGACGTCGCTTTAATATGACCGCTCAGAGGAGAGGAGTTCTCATTTCTTTAAACGTCTGCTGCTTCCCCTCCTCTCTCCTCGGTTCCCCTCCTCGGTCCTCCGCTCGCATCTCCTGTGGGCGGGTCTAAAGAGGCTTCTCAATACTCAAATTTCCCCTCCTCGACTCCCCTCCTCGGTTCCCCTCCTCGAGACTTAGACCCGCCCACAGGAGATGCGAGTGGAGGACCGAGGAGGGGAACCGAGGAGAGAGGAGGGGAAGCAGCAGACGTTTAAAGAAATGAGAACTCCTCTCCTCTGAGCGGTCATTTTAAAGAGCCGTCCGTTCATTATTACGTGGCAACAGCTGCATCAGCTGTCGAGTGTTTTGTCATAGCGCTGTATCTCTGTTAGATCAGCTGAACATTGTTCCCCCACATATTTACTTTGAATTCATTGAGAGTGCGGTATAATGAGACAATAACAGGCTACAGATGCGGACACACACACACATATAAATGTATATAAATATATACAATTTAAAGTATGAGAGTACTCTCATAATAACGTAACACAATCAGAGACTGGATATATCCCCCCCCCTCTCTCTGGTCGCTGAAATGGGGAATTGAAATTACGGTCAAAAGTTGTATTTACAAGTAGGCCTATTAAAAGTAAGCAGAGGACACCAAACCAACTGAGACCGTCTGTCCGCCGCATTTACGCACTGTACAACACACACCTACAGCTCCTAAAGCATAAGCCGTTGTGTATTTTATTATGTGAAGCACTAAATGGTCTTAGAAAAATATCGACTCTTTGTTTGTAGATATCTACTAAACTAAAGCAAATAAAGAGAGTAGGCCTGTTATACTGAGTGATATATATTATACACACTGCTCTGCTTTCTGCATGGACCTTACAGCTGTTCTCTCTGGAAACATCGCGACGCGATGAAAGCAGTTTCTAAAATAATATCCAGGGGATGCATGCATAGCTGTCATTGGCTGAGATAAGTCCGGCTGTGCGTCACGCCTCCACCGTTCCCGGAAATGCATCCGTGGAGGAGCCGTGGAGGAACCATCAGTGTATCCTCGGTTAGAGCTCCTCCAGAGAGCCTCCTCGACGCTCGATCCTCGGTGTGCATTTAGAGAAATGAGATGTCCTTCAAAATGGCGCGCTGAAATTCATTTCCGGGTCACTACCGGAGGACCGAGGACCGAGGAGTCGAGGAGGGGAAATTTGAGTATTGAGAAGCCTCTTAAGTCTCGAGGAGGGGAACCGAGGAGGGGAGTCGAGGAGGGGAAATTTGAGTATTGAGAAGCCTCTCTAGAGAGATAAGAGTTACGACACTCCCATAGACCTCCGTTGTAGCGGCGCCTACTTCCGGGGTATGGACATCGAAATAGTTCAAAATATTGTCAGTTGGGCGTTGAAACTCATTCACTTACATTACGGCGCGTCGATTAGTTCCAGAGGTAAGTTGCTGAAATATCGAACTCTTTTGAATTGTCAACTGTCTATATTGTATCAGAGGCCCTTTATGATGCTTATACTGGTCTTCATTTGTATATGCACAGCGTAATTATCTATATTTTATCTTGGTTGTTACAACCAATTTAGCTAGCATTGCCTGCTAGTTAGCTAGCGCGACTTCGTCAGCTTTGAAGGTAATATTTTAGTAATGAATCGCTAGCAGCTTATATATCTATGATGCTGGGTAACTAACAAGCAGGATTTAGATTGATTATGTGTTTTTATTGTTATTTTGGTTTTTATCCGCTGAACCTGACCGTGTCAGCCATCCTTAGTCGGCTTTTTCTGTATGATATGACTTAACTGCTAGCACTAGTAGAAATGAGGTGGCGTTTGTGATTAGGGTTGCCAACTTCCAGAAATGGAAAAACGGGACACGTGTCCCCCGCGCGCGAAGATTTTCGGGTTTCTGGCGGATTTAGTTACTTTTTTTTGTTACTTTATTTCGGTTTTAGGGTTAGGTTAGGGTTATGTTATTTAATTATTTTGGGGGAGCCAGCCCCCTAGGGTTCGAGGGGTCAACCCCCCCAAAACCCTCAAAATGCATAGAAAACTATGCATACCTATAACACAATACAAACACAATGGTCTTACACCTGCATTAGGCTACTACATCACATTGTACATCTGTTAGAGTTTATTGAAGGATAAATGTGTTTTCATAATGTATTCTCATAAATGTGTTAATGGGGGAACAGAGAACAGTCTGTTCAAATGGCACACATACACACACACACAGATTCACATGACTGAGAGTCACAAGATTCACACTAACAAATAAGGCGTTGGTCAACATCACATGATTGTCATGTTACTGTATTGTTGAAATAAAAAGAATGCACTGAGAGAAGGCGAGCAGAGTTGGTTAAGGAGTGGACATTGCATGTCACTCGCCGATTCTCCTTGCAGCAAGTAAACTTGAAACTCGAGTACTGTTATCTCTGTTCACTGGATTTTGGTTATTGAACCGAGCTGGGGTTTTACCCTTACAAAGTAATATAGATACCTCACATTAATTGGTCCTTCGAGCCGGATTCCAATACATCGTGACGGGAAGGAGGAGGGAAAAGACACGCCGCAGTCTGTCGACAGCCGGGATCATCAGCCGACCCCGAGAAAGACCCGGGACGCAGAATTCGTGGCCGGGCCGGTGCTTATATGTCCAACCTCCCTCATCCTAGGCACGATTGACGGAATCCAACCGGACCAGTGACCACAGATAACGGGTAAGATAAAACGTTGATATACACGGTTACTCCGCCATTAAGGAGGTTGATAAAACGTTGATAGAGAAAGGCTACTCCGCCTAGGAGGAGGATCGACGTGCCTTTGGGTACACTTATGAGTGATTGAGTGAAAGCGGTGTGTAAAAGTGTCACCAGTGGAATCAGCGCACAGAGTGGAAACCTAACGGTGATAACACAAACTCTGTGGTCTGTTGAAGTACACGTAGTGGTGAATTAGGAATTAGGTTCTGACCGGCACGTTGTCCAATAGGAACACCAAGCTAGAATCATGGGGTCCAATGGGAGTAAGCCTGCCGCTACAGGGGACATGAGATATATGGAAATATATAGTCATGGCAGCACCAGTTATTGTAGCAAATGGTATAAACAGTACGGCTTCCGAGGAAAGTTGGAGAAAACAGCAGTAAGAGAATTAAGCGACAAATTGAGAGCAGCAACAGCTGGAACAACACAAGGCAAGAAAAGAAAGAAGTTAGAAGCTCAACTGCGGGTTGCAGCTTTATGGGCTGAACAAGCCCATAAAAGGACAGGTGGAGCAGAAGAAGGTATGATAGCAGCGGCTGTTTCAGTGAAAGCAGACGAGGAGACAGAGCGTTCAGGGTCAGTTGACGCTGTATGCCGCGAGAAAGAGAGAGCGATAGTGGAAGAACACAAAGCGCAGGAACAAAGAATAAAAAGGAAGCAAGAGAAAGAGAGAAAAGACAGGGAAAGAGAGACACAAAAACGCATCGACAAAGAAATGGCAGATGCATTAAGCCCACTGCACACCAGAAAAAATAAGGGGGGAAACCAAGTTATATCCTGTTGAAGAATTAAGAGAAGCAGAAAAATCCTTCGACGGAACAGCATATCAGGGTGACGCTTATCCATTAGTACAAGTGGCCAACCCGCACTATGGAGTTGGCGGTGACCTAGAAAGAATGTTAAAAGTGTTCCGCCCATGGACAATGGATGAGTGTAAAAAGGCTTGTGAGGGACTGACTCCATACAAACAGGACCCGGCGCAGTTTGTCCTTGACCATACTGCATTAATAGCGTCATATGGTTTAAATGGACATGAAGTTTTAAGAACCCTTATGACAATCTTTGGCCACGAATGGGCCAGGGTAAAGGGAGATTTCACCGGGTCCTGGCCCAATGGAAACCCCCTGGAACCAGGTCAGCAGGACCTCATCAATGCACTCGCTCCCGTAAATATCTCAATCGAGAGGGTTTTTGCACTGAGACGAGACTTTACTAAAGTCTCAGGGTGTAGACAGGGAGAAAAAGAGTCAGTACAAGATTTCAGAATCAGAATGGAAGATTGTTTCTGTATCCATAGCGGAATTCCACCCAACAATGCTGTTGACTCCCCATATGTGCAGCAGCTGAAACAAAGCCTGATGAATGGGTTCCACCCAGGTATTGCTGACTTTATCCGCAAGCATAATGTTAACCATAGGACATGCGACTTACAAGAGTGCCTAAATTATGCAGAACATGCAGCAACCCAGATCAAAGAAAAAAGACATAAGAAAGCGTCAGCATCAGCTTTCTTCATAGGAGAAGAAGGGGAAGAAAATCAGATTTTCTTTGTGGGACCAGGACAGGGGAGAGGCGGGTTTAACAGAGGACGAGGGAATGGTAGAGGAACAGGCAGAGGCAGAGGAGGAGGCAGAAACGCAGAAGGCAAATTCCTCTGCTACAGGTGCGGAAAGGAGGGGCACATGGCGAGAGACTGTGAGGAACAGAGACCACAGAACAAAGAAGGGGGACAAAAGGGACAGTACAAAGACGAAAGACATGGCCCCCCCCCTTCACATAACCTACATAGTTATGAAAACTGACTAGACGTAGAAAAGGAAGAAGAGGACGTCCACACACATCACATTGACCTTTCTGAAGTATTACTGAATCTGTCAGACAACAGTATTAAACCTACCAGAACAATCGAAATCAATGGGGAAAAATTAGAATTCTTATGTGACAGCGGTGCAGACTCATCAGTAGTGAACAAAGAGGTCCAAAGAATGTGGCCACCAACTGGCACTATGTTTGTAAAATCAGCAAATGGACACATAAATCAGAGGTCGATTTCAAAGTCACTTTTTATGGAAGATAGAAGGTCAGGCCTCCAGGCATCCCTCAAATTTGTGTTCATCTCAAACTGCCCTGTCAATTTGCTAGGGAGAGACGGCATGGAAATGTTAAAAATCAGTGTAGTACCAGTCAAAGGGGGAATGCGAGCAGTAGGGCCCGGAGAAAAGGTGGAAGACCAGGTCTTCCTTCAAAAATCCATAAACATCCCCAACTACTATTGGTCACTAGACATGCCACAACCTGACGTGACAAACACAGGTGAACACCTGTTAACACTATTCACCCCACAACATGGCCAAGAAGTAATGAAACCTGACGCATTGCACGTTACACTAAAGTACAAGAACACCCCTGGCCCAGACAAAGACTATGATGTGCTCGTGCATCGACTGACACCACAGAGGGTAGTGTTCCACTCGATGTATGCAAACCAACACGGGGATGTTGCAATTGACGCTAGGGTCCCATCAACCACTGCCTTGATAATGGAACCAGGTTCCACGCCACACATATCAGTAGCTAGGGGCCCAGGGACTTCATGGAGAGACTTAGGTTTATTAGTGGCTAGAGGTAACAGGATAACAAAATGGACAGATGACAAAAACGGTTGGCAAACTGGAGGCGGGTTAAAGCGCAAAACTCTAGGGTTTACCTTAGTGATGACACCACGCGCCCACCTAGACGACCCTGAACAACAATGATGGGCAGAAGAGGCCTTAGAGGTCCTGAAAACGGTGCCGCCATGCGTATGGTCACAAGGAAAATGTGATGTAGGTCGCATGGTGAACGCAAAACCTGTACACGTTAGACCAAAAACTAACTACAGACCTAACATAAGACAATACCCCTTAAAAGAGGATGCAAAAGTTGGCATCAAACCTGTAATTGAAGAAATGCTAAAAGCAGGGATCCTGCGTGAGTGCCCTGATGCATCATGCAATACCCCCATCTTCCCAGTAAAAAAGACTGATGGGCAGTCATGGAGAATGATTCAAGACTTAAGAGCAGTAAATGACGCTGTACAAAGCACAGCCTCAACAGTACCAGATCCACACACGTTAATGAACGGCCTTAAGCCAAATATGGCATGGTTCTCAGTGATAGACTTGAGCAATGCCTTTTTCTCCATTCCTGTAGAAAAAGACTCACAAGGATGGTTCGGGTTCACACATGAAGGAACAAAGTACACATACACCAGATTACCTCAGGGGTATGTGGATAGCCCAACAATCTTTTCATGAGAAATAGCAAATTGTTTGGCTACATTACAGATACCTGACACATCGCAGATTTTGGTAGATGATATTCTTGTTGCGTCACCCACACAGGAAGAAAGCACAAAAGTCACACTACAAGTACTGACACATTTGGCCAAAACAGGAAACAAGGTTTCAAGACAGAAACTTCAGTTTGTGAAAGAGGAAGTGATCTTTTTAGGCCACAATTTAAACCGAGAAGGGAGACGCATACACTCTGAGAGGAAACAGACGGTGTTAAACGCACCAAAACCAACAACAACAAAACAAATGATGCAATTCCTTGGGCTGACTAACTATTGCAGAGCATGGGTTCCAGACTACGCAGGAATGACTCAGCCCCTACTAGATTGCATATACTCAGACAATGACATGAAAATGTCCGGCAAGATAGAATGGACACAAGAGGCAGAAGCTGCATTTGAAAGGACTAAACAGTTTCTCGTATAGGGTCATCAGTGTTAGCATTACCAGACTATGAAAAACCATTTGTACAAACAGTTGACTGCAAAAAAGGGTTTATGACATCAGTATTGGCCCAAAAACACGGCACAAAACTAAGGCCTGTCGCTTACTACTCTAAAAGGTTAGACCCAGTAGCACAAGCATTACCAGTATGCGTACAAGCAGTATGTGCTGCAGCAATGGCGGTACATTGTACAGCAGAAATAGTTTTGTTCCACCCACTCACACTGATGGTTCCACACGCAGTCACCATGTTGTTACATGACACCAAAATGGCTTTCTTATCACCTGCACGTTATTTGGCACTGACAGCTACACTAATGTCACAACCACACATTGTGATAAAAAGATGTAATATCTTAAATCCAGCCACATTAATACCTACAGCAGAAGATGGAGAACCACACTGTTGTAAAGAAGAGACTGACAGAACATGCAAACCAAGACCAGATTTGAAAGACATACAACTGCCTAGTGGCGAAACATGGTTTGTGGATGGGTCCTGTTCTAAATCTATAACAGGCCAAAATCAAACAGGGTTTGCAGTTGTATCACACACACAGGTCATAAAAGCAGGCCGACTCCCCCACACATAATCTGCACAAGCAGCGGAATTAGTAGCTCTTACAGAAGCATGCAAAGCGGGGGTTGGAAAAGATGTGACTATGTGGACAGACAGCCAGTATGCGCACTCAACAGTACATATATTTGCAGCCCAATGGGCCCGCAGGGGCATGAAAACGTCAACAGGAAAACCAGTCACCCATGCACAGCTGCTGACTGATCTTTTAAAAGCGGTGTTGTTGCCGAAAAGCATTGCTATATGCAAATGTGCTGCGCACACCAGTGGGAAGGATGCAGTAACACTTGGCAATGCACACGCGGATAAGGTAGCGAAGCTAGCAGCTGTGGGCGAATATGGGTTCCATATCCTCTTGCAGAAGGGGGAAAGTGTTTCACAACCGATACTAGGGCTGTGCGATTATGGCAAAAATCATAATCACGATTATTTGGGTCAATAATTGATATCACGATTATTTTGACGATCATTCATTGACCATTTATTGAACTTTAAAACAAATAATATTTTACCAATAAACAAGACCAAATATGTTGGAGCGCACTTCCAAAACCATACTAAACATATATTATTAATATGATAAATAAAAATAAATTAGACCAAAATAAATTAAATCAAACATGTTGCAGTGCACTGTCACAACCTACTGAAAACTCCTTAACATATAGCCAACATGTTGGTAAAACATATTCAACATATTCCACTCAGTTAAACGTTGAAGGCTGGCCAACCGTCATGGTCCAGAAGTAACAGGAAATAAATGTTGAACTACAATTTAAGACCAAATAAAAATGTTTAGGCCACCATGGCAAATGCTGGTAGGACTGCTCATGTCATCTCTTAAAGATGTTTTGCAAGAAACAACAGCCTGTTTACATGGTCTGGTTTCAGAGATGAGCGCAGGCAGGTGACAATATTGCCACCTGTACTGAAGACCCTCAGCCACGCTCCGACACATGTGACGCCGGCCAATCACAAAGCTTTGATGCGTTCAAGTGCATTATTTTGGCACAGGAAGATTATGTTACAGGACATTAACGATAAAACAGAATATTGTTGTTCTATTTTTAGACACATCTCGCGATCGACTGGTTGGGCACCCCTGGGCTAGACCATAGGTCTGTTGTGGTAGCAAAGTAGTCAGCTGAAGCCACATCTCTCTCAACTTCCCCACGGCATTTGTCATATAGTGCAGGCAGCGCAGACCTGCTGAAATAATACCGAGACGGCATCGCGTAACGCTTGTCCAACGTGTTGACAAGTTGCTTAAAGCCCTGGTTGCTAACAGTGCACATATCTTTAGCGATGTGAAATGTAATGGCAAAGTACTTGCAAATAGTGGAAATAGTTGTACCCTTCTTTTTAACGAGTTGCTGCTCTTGTTCTGACATCTTCGCTCGCGCTGAACACTCACAACACATGTCACTCCCACGTGGCCGAGTGGGCTTTTAGGGAGGGGTGAAGCGCACCCAGCAAAATAATCGTATTTTGTCAATTATGCTGTTTTCATAATCGTAATCGCGATTAAAATACGATTAATCGCACAGCCCTAACCGATACCTCTTGTGATATTAAGGGATATGCAGAACAGCGCACCCGACAGAGAAAAGAAGAAATGGTTGACAGATGGTGCAACCACAGACCCTGAGGGAACATTCAGAATAAACAACAAGATAGTACTCCCTGTTAGTCTCTACAAAACAGCAGCTCATTTGAGTCATGGGCCGTGCCATGTCTCAACAGGAGGGATGGTGACAATAATAAATGAACACTTCCATACATACAACTACATTACATTTTCTAAAAACTTTTGTAGAGCCTGTGTAGTATGTTGCAGACACAATGCTCAAGGCAATGAGCGACCACAGAGAGGAAAGTTCCCTCCACCAACATACCCATTTCAACACATGCATATGGACTTCATCGAACTAACACCATGCCAAGGGTACAAATACTGTTTGGTAATGATATGTCCGTTTTCAAAGTGGGTTGAAATATTCCCAGCAAAACATGCAGACGCTATTACCGTAGCAAAAGCCATATGCAAGACAATAATACCAAACAGAGGTATTCCAGAGAAACTGTACAGTGATAATGGTTCCCATTTTGTAAATCAGGTTATTACCAAACTGTCCGAACATATGGGGATAACATTAAAAAACCATTGTGCATATCATCCACAGAGTGCAGGCTTAGTGGAAAGAACAAACGGAACAGTAAAGTTAAGACTAAGGAAAACAATGGAAGAAACAGGAAGACCATGGGTGGAATGTGTGTCTCTAGTAGAAACATGCATGAGAATCACGCCCACGGCAAAAGGGTTGTCTCCCTTTGAGATCATAACAGGAAGGCAATTCAGACTACCAATCACAGACGAGGTGAGGGAGGAGGATGATGCTGAGGCAGAGACTACATTAGCTGAATGGATGAGCAGACTCTTCAGAAGCAATGAGATAGCTCGAACAAATAACTTGCCAGACATTTCTACTCCCTTACAGGATACTCGAGTGCAGACTGGTGACCAGGTCCTCGTGAAGGTGATTAAGAGGAAGCATTGGCACTGTCCACGGTGGGACGGTCCCTACATGGTACTGCTGACAACACCGACTGCACTAAAAATCGCCGAAAGAACTACGTGGATACATCAGAGCCACTGCAAAAAGATAATACCTCTCCAACTTAACGACGGATAAGTGGTGGAAGTCCGGCTACAAAGGGCGGTGTTTCATTAGGAAATACTGGTCTCAACCCCGGTGAAGAAAACAACAGAACCACTATCACAAATAGACTATGTTGGGAAAGGTGTTGTTTGTAGTGACCCTGCTGGGTCTGACGCTAATGACTATAAGACAATTGAGTGAGGAATCCTCAACAAAAGAAGAAGTCCATCGAGAGAAAAAATGGTCACTACTCAACGATGTTGCAACAGACAGATAACGGTGACTATACTGACACAGACCCCTCTCAGAAGGACGAATATACTCACCTAACCTCCAATGTGTAAGACTTAAAGCTAGGTTACTGTCTGTCATATGACGAATGGTTCGAAAATGTCAAAAACAAGTGAATTAATTCTGAAAGTAATAAAGACATTGTAACCAGCTAGTAATTATGAAAAACAGGAGGGAATGTTAGAGTTTATTGAAGGATAAATGTGTTTTCATAATGTATTCTCATAAATGTGTTAATGGAGGAACAGAGAACAGTCTGTTCAAATGGCACACATACACACACACACAGATTCACATGACTGAGAGTCACAAGATTCACACTAACAAATAAGGCGTTGGTCAACATCACATGATTGTCATGTTACTGTATTGTTGAAATAAAAAGAATGCACTGAGAGAAGGCGAGCAGAGTTGGTTAAGGAGTGGACATTGCATGTCACTCGCCGATTCTCCTTGCAGCAAGTAAACTTGAAACTCGAGTACTGTTATCTCTGTTCACTGGATTTTGGTTATTGAACCGAGCTGGGGTTTTACCCTTACAAAGTAATATAGATACCTCACAACATCAGCATGTTCAAATCGGATAGGTGGGCACTAGGGACATCTGGGCACCTCGATGTACAATTGGCTATTTTGTCCAAAATGTTAAAAAATAAATATTTGAAAAATGGTATTAAGTAATGCAAAGTCCTATACATGCAAGGTAGGCTACATCATTATTAGACTTAATGTTATCCTTCAACCAACCATTTTCCCAGCATTTTCCCATCAATCAGCTGACTGACTCTCTCTCTCTCTCACACACACACACACACACACACACACACACACACACACACACACACACACACACACACACACACACACACACACACACACACACACACACACACGCACGCAGAAGACCCGAGACAGATCGCCACTCACGGGCTTTACCCAACTGTGTTTTTCTTCCACTGTTTGTTGTAAGACACAAGTCTTTTCTTTTTAGAAGGGCCAGGGCCCAGAACCACATCCTCTCTCTCTTCTCCTCTTTCATTATCACCTCCTCCACCGGCAGTGCTCATTTTCCCACACGACTGAACAGGCTGACATGCCACACAAACAGTGATGCCGCGCCCGCGGCCCACCGGAGAAAATCTCACACACACACGTGCGAGCATTGTGCCTGCCCTGTCAACTGAGCGGTCCTAGTGCCCTTCGAATACAGCACACAAACACACAGGCACGCAGCCAGACACACTGCATTGCGCGCAAACAGAAACATATTTTTTATTTTTCCCTTTACACGGGAGTCCGGGACAAACAAAGTCCCGTACGGGACACGCCCTTTTTGGCTCAAATACGGGACGGTTGGCAACCCTATTTGTGATAAATATTTCATTTAATATTTCATTGAATTTTGGGATATACTAACATTTCATTATGTGACATGTTGACTGTACTTTGTTTTTTTTGGTACTGTTCCGTGTTAACTCATCTGACTGTACTGTACAACTAGCCTAGCGCTACTTTTTAATGCTTGATGGCATGCTAGGATAGATTCCTTTGTATTGTAATATACACACTAGTTTAATGATTGTTCTTCAAAGGTATTATTCAGTCTTAAACAAATAATAGCCTACTGAATAGGCTACTCTACAGCAGTGAATGAAGGATGAGCCTAAAACATGGTCATGCATCCAAAATGTTTATCTTTAACAAAATAAACACTTAAAAAAAAATAATTAGCACTTTTTTTTAATTCAGCCTCATATGTCAGCCTCATATGGCTGTTGCTGCTGCTGCTGCTGCTGGAGGAGGCTGCTGCTGCTGGAGGAGGCTGCTGCTGCTGAAGGAGGGTGCTGCTGCTGAAGGAGGGTGCTGCTGCTGCTGGAGGGTGCTGCTGCTGAAGGAGGCTGGTGCTGGCAACGGCTGCAGGTGATGACTGCTGAAAGAAGAGGAGGCTGGAGGCTGCTGACGGTGGACCAGGAATGGAGATGCCAAGTACATCGATGGCAACGAGTAAGGTGTTTGGCAGTTTCCTAGATGTTATGACCTTCGGTGCAGAGGTCTGTTGGGTCTTCTTTGCCTTCTTACTCTGACTCTTGCTGCCAAGATACCCTTTATGTTTATCCTTCCTCTCAACCCTGATGCACTTTGATGCAATCCTTAACCTCAGCCTGATGTATGTTGAGAGGATTTTTTTCTTCAGGTCATGGCATGAGGGAAGGTTGCTGTCCAGCAACATGGCTTCTTGTTCCAGCTGTGACACTGCATTTGAGGACTCCATGAGGGAATTGCTCGTCCTCACACGGAACAGCTGCTCCACGTTCTGAACAAGGGTGAAAACCTCATCAGATGGACGGTAAAGTGCACCCCTTTTAAATTATTTTAATACCAGCAGACCAGCTCTCTCATTTTCACCATCACTGAAATTTTTCACTAGGGCACACTGGCATTTGTCACAAAGTGAGAAGCTGATGACCCTTTTCACGATGTATCCTGCAAGGTGGTATAGCACACAGGACTCGGTTTTAGTGATGTCAGGTGGTGTTGTCAGGTCTACTAGCTGCTCCACTCTCAGAACGTCAGGAGGACTGCAGCTGCTGTTCTGCGTGTCCAGGAAGTCTGCCAAGTGGTCTGATCCATCCTCCACGTAACTGCCAGTATGCACTGGCGATAGGAACTGGCCCACAGTGACAGCGCGCAGAGCATATTGGAACTCTACAGGTGTTGGGACAGAGTTCCTCAGACGAATGGACGAAAATGTGTTTTCCAGGCAGTCTTGAGTGAAGCGGCTTGTGAGAACAAATTTGTGCCCTTGTCTCAACAGGTCATGCTGGACCTCCAGGATTGTTGTTGTGGCCATCACCAGTCCTGTCTGGACTGGTTTCCAGCTGCCCTTGGGACCGATCTTCAGGCCCAGAAAACAGATGGATGGACTCCCGGAGGAAGCTGATGGCCTTATCATACTCCTCCATCTTGAAATGACTTAGGGCAGTAACAGTGTTGCGTGACGACATGAGGTCAAACCAGTGGTCCACCGTCTCCAAAAACCACGCGTAAGGTAGGACTCTGGTCTGTGCTCCTCTGCCACCATGTACCTCAGGGCAGCACTCGATGACTTGGAGAAGACGTGCATTGCTGAACTGACCTTCATTTTCTCAAAATGACTAGGCTCCAGGACGCCTCTAGACAGCTTAGGTGCCAGTTTTAGGGCCATTCCCTCTTGGTATGACACCAGATCCTTCAGGGGGCCAACAAACACCACACTGGACGGCAGCTTCTCTTTGTCCACCACATCCTGTGGTATGGTGATGACGTGACCATTCACCAAGGCACTCTTTAAATTCTTCACCACGTGTGGAACATCAGGCATGAAGTACAGGTGCTGGTGTGGCTTCACAGGATGTGCTGTCCACGGCTTGTCATAGGTCACCCCAAAGGACTTCCACATAGCCCTATTGGGGCTCCCCATATCAGTAGTGATGTTAACCACATGAAGCCCTATAGATGCCGCTGCTTCAACGATGGTGAGTATTATGGGCCGGTACACTGCACCGTCAGTAGAATTACCACTGTAGTGGTAAGCCACAACCTGTTTCCACCGCGTAGTAGCACCAGCCATCATGAACACTAAGGCATGAGTGGCCTGGCCTTTGTGGCCAGGTAGTGTTGTGTTCCCTAACAGCCTCCCTGTTCCCAGATGCAGCTCCACGCTAGGGGTGATGGACATCTCATCCAAGGTGAGCACACATTTCTTCTCCATCTCACTCATGCCATCTGCCTTCAGCCTCAGCATATCAAACACCTCCCCCAACACTCCTGGCTCCAGTTTGACGTGCTGCATCCTCCTCTGAATGGTCCTGATGTCAGGCAGAGGCATATTCATGGCTTGGAGGGTTTTATATCCTGTAGTGGCACAACAGAACCTTAGTTGTATTGCTTTTTTCACGGTTTCTTTCCCCCACCGTATCCACCTTTTTTTGATTGCCCAAGTGCTCTAATTTGGTCTGTGTTGAAGATTTTTTTAAACTTTAGATTAATCAAATTGTGGTTTTTTTAAAATGCCGAATTAATCCTTTTCTGGTTTACCAGAGCCCTCTCTGCTCTCTTTCTTAGTAATCTCTCCCTTCTCAGTTGCCTCATTAGATCCTCCACGTGAGCCCGGTCACAACTGGCCCTTGGCAGTCTGGTCCCTGGAGCACCTGACGCTGGCAAACTGGCCTCTTCATAGCTGACCCCTGACTGACTGGCTCCTGGCACACTGATCTCTGGTAAGGTGGCCTCTTGATTGTCGGCCCCTGACATACTGGCCCCTGGCAGTCTGCTGACATCTGTCTCACTCTCTCTGTCTGTTATGTCCCTTTCATTCCCTTGGAACTCCACCTAAATATCTCCCTGAATCTCTGTAACAATAACAAGGCAATTGCTGTTATATGTGTATGCTGCCTTTACATGTGCACCTATTGTCATTTAAGGGTACACTACACTCCTATAGTGACATTCATCTAAGTTCGTCTATTGGCAATGTTAAAGTATGAAGAAATCTGTAGATTATCTACATGTGGTATATGAGTCTTCAGAGAATCCCTGAACCCTGAACCATTTTGTTTGACTTAGTTTTTTTTTCTTTTAAACTCATAGTTTTGCTTTATTCTGAGAAAGTGTTGCTTTATCTTTATGATACAAAACTAATCCCATACGGGAGGGGGAAACACTTGGAGTTGCGGGTGATGTGCAAGTTTAACAATGCAGTAAAAGTTACAAGTCAACCCTTAGTCAGTGTTATTGTCAAATATATACTTTTTTTTCCTGTGCACTGCTAACACGGTACACATTGTTGTCTTAGCAAGTTGTAGAGTGACTTACAGAATAAATGAGGGATTCATTTGTAAGCCTTGTTGTAACGGCCAATGACAGGAGGACACTCCATCTCAATCAGTGCAGGTAGGGACTGGAAGTAAAGGCAGGCAAGAGAGGAAAGTACAGAGAGAGGTGTGAGTAAATGGGTTCTTTGTTTAGTTTACATGACAACTGAACAAAGACAAGTACAAATGAGCAATGACTCTGAGCCGCTGTGGTTACATAAATCAGGAATCCACAATGATGCAACATCGATTTGAATTGCTCACAATTGAAACTAGGGTGGGAAGTTAATGGGATTAACTTAATTACAGTTACTTTTCATCAAGTCTTTAAAGGTCTCCTATTATACTCTTTTTCATCAATATATTATAGGTGTTAGGGAAATAATTGTCCTAGACTCCTAGATATCACATACATGAACAACCCTGACGTCTGTTATCTCCTTTAAGGAGACAGGCTGCTTCAGCCATAATGTTATTGTTACCATTCTGTGACCGGGCAACATTAGGTCACAGATGGTCTGTTGTTGTGGGTGCACTGGGACACTTCCTTCTTTGTTGTTTGTGGACTCCAAGGTATGACATCTTCGAGGCCATAAGTGACGGATGCAAGTAACTCAGTGTGCCCAACTGTCTAAGCTATCTTGATGTGAATCCTCCGGCCGAAACTCCAAATAAATCCTCAGTGTTTGACATCAAAGCTCCTGCTCCTCCCGTGTCTCTTTCCTGAGTCGGTGACTCCCACTGCATTGCTACACAGAAGTTTCCCTTACAAAAGGTCTCAGATATATACAAAACATGGCTGCGGTCGAATTGTCAGTTTAGCTTAAGAACCTTCTGAACTGAGTGAAATGACCCGGACGTACCTCAGTGGCCGTCATGATAAGAGCCGTTCAAATTCTCTAGATAGCAGATAGAAGAAGATGGACCTTTATTAATCCCCCGAGGGGGAAATTCAGTTTCCACTCTGTCGTACACACACATGCGTTTTAATACAGGTCATGCAGTACACACAGTACACACTTTTTAGAACATGCACATACATATACAAATACAAGGATGATAGGAAAGGAGGTTTGAAACTTCCTTTATAACCTCCTTTAGCTTAGGAAACACTGGACTTTCCTTTACGAAAGGAAAAAAGAAAATGCTGCCCCACAATGCCTTGCGGCCTCAACATTTACCATGACAAAACATTCGTCCGTTCACGGAAACAACCGATTATAACCAATAAATTAGTATCATGAAAGTTACGGTGCTTATTAAGCATTTTAAAACGTATGTGGTAAGTTGCCAAAGTGCTTTGTTTTGAACGTTCATCAGTATTATAATCAAAGAGAAATATGAACGTTAGTTTTTACTGAAATGATAAAGTCAACATTTCACAGTCTTTACTGAGCTGTGTGGGGTTTGTTCAACTTTTAAAAGATGTTTGAATGGTGATATACACAGTGATAGAATACGATAGAATTACTAACAAATAACTGCTAACAGAGCACTTATATACTAATAAAGGACTGGCTTATCTAAAGCCAGTTGAGTAGCACTTGAAATGTTTGGCTCTATGAAACCTGATGTACTTATATGATTCTGTTTTCTTCAAGGTTGTGTCTTCCTGGTCGAATGTACTTATTGTAAGTCGCTTTGGATAAAAGCGTCAGCTAAATGCAATGCAATGTAATGTAATGTAATGTAATGATAGATGTTAAGGACTAACACGTTTATAATAAATACATTTGTATTGATTTTAAGATATTTTCATACAATCATACGTATTGGGATCATTTGTATTGATGTGGACTGGAGGGTGACGAGCATAAGTTTCACTTTCCTTTTTTATTTAAATTCCAACTTTGGTAATGAAGAATAAATGTTTCTCTGTTGTCCACGTTCATAAAGCATGAAACAACAGCATCAGAGGGGACACATATTTCCTAAGGCAGAGGGGACACATGTTTATGTATAATAGACGTGAATAAGTGGATTTTGAATAATAGGTGACCTTTAAAGTATGGAAATTTTAAACAAATGCAATGTGTTTTGCTGTTGACTCGTGAAATGCTGAACATGATAAATGCAATTTAGGTTTTTTGATGTTTTATAGGGGAAAACACTTTTTGGCTGCATCTATTTTTATGTGATAAAGTATCCTAAAATATTCACATTAGTTTAAACATCTTTTTTCAAGTTAGATGGATTATGTTACTAATTACAACAAATATAAATATGACCAACCTGGTTGGAAACACTGATCACCCTCTGTGTCACTGTTAAACTGTTCCTTAGAACCAACAGTGGTGATGTGTGGGAGAAGTACAGCAATGCAGTGCAGACCGGAGCGTTTCCTGTATTGCTGATGACAGGTATAGGAAGCTGCAGTGGACTGGAGTCCTCTGCAATAAATCTTCAAGGTGTTTGTGGCACTAACTACATTTACACAGGGAAAATAACAACCACTTACAGCACCGTGTTCCTCTGTAAAGGGATATGTTACAGAGGGATAATATGGATTTAGGTGATTTATTTTGAGTACAAACAGGAGTGAAATCAGTCAATTAATCTAAACACAACAATAGCTGTCGCTTTAAATGCAGAAGTAAATCCTGAAAGCTGCCAGATGAGGGATAGAGGAGTTTTCCTTGAAGGCAGGGACCCCTCTGCTATGCGCTCCATTTCTCCTTTACCCCCACCCCCCCATTCCACCTTCCTAATACTCCCCCCCACCCCTCCCTGCTTACTTCCACTGCACAGAGCAAATCCAGAGCCTGCAGTGCCTGATCGCGCTAACCAAGAGATCTATTTAGGAAATATCAAACTCTCAGCTCTTCAGAGAGGACAAGTACTGGAAAGCAGTGAAGGCAGCCTTAAAAACCTGCACTGGACAAGTGGGCAAGGGTCAAATCCATCAGGGGAATTCAGACAAAATCACCTTCAGCAGAGCAGCATCTGGTCCCGAGCTTGAAATCAGGAGAGGAGAGAGGCTACACGGCAAAAAGGAGCAGAGAAAAGTGACTGGAATGATAAGATGAGAAGGTGAGTTATGGACACATTTATACACTCTTTTAATCAACACACACACACACACACATATTCTGCCACACCCTGGCTTGCACACAGTATAGTGCTGTTTCAGCAGTGTCCTGGCTGTGTCTTTGCACCCGCTGATGCATGGGTTCTCTGTGGAGTCATTAGTACAAACCATCTATTGAGCTAGTTCTCCTCCTCTGAGAGCATGGGACTGACTGCTCTGACAACCACTGATGACTGAACACGCAAACTCATGCCAGAGAAAATGAGTGCAGGGATTTATCAGCCTCTGGTATGAATGATATTCTTAAATAGACTATAAATATCCTCTTCAAGATCCATTTACCAGTTATAGAAAAGGACCCGTTTTAACCTGGTACAGTACTGATGGGGCAAATATAGCCTACAGCATGAGTGAAAAAACATTACTGCATTGTTAGGGGAGTCAGTTTGGCATGTGATGTTAATGTTAGTATCTGCAAGCAATGCAGTGATGTGCAACAAACATTGTGCAGCCTGCTTCTGGTGCGTGTGTGTGTGAGAGAGAGAGAGATATTTTGGCAGGGATGGAGCTTTAAAGAAACGATGAAGCAATTTTTATTCAGCACAGCCCTCTGCAGTTAGTGTGCTTCTCTGACAGATAACAAGTCTGCAGTGTGTTTCCTGTATTCACCATAGGTGACAACATCTTTATTCGACAAAATCAGAAAATAAGTGCAACTGGACTTGTACTTTAACACAAATGACTCTTGACATAAATTGGATTTGACATACGTATAAATACTTGACATCTACCCCAAAACCTAAAGGGTCAAATGTATGTCCATAAATGAATTAATTTCCTTTCATGTCAACTTGTGTTACTGCAATTAATTTCATTAAGTCTATCCAACAGCGTCCAATCAAGATGCAGGAGAGGTCCCTGACTAATGTTACGGTTAAGAAAGAAAATAATTGTTTATGTACAAAACATATGTGGAGGTCAACAAAGAACGAAATACATTACGAAAAATTGAATTACATTGGGTGAAACGTTCCTAAACCTCAAAGTTTGGGACTTAGAACTTGACTTGCGACCTTTCAGATTTGACTTAGGACTTTATCTTGTGACATGACTTGAGACTTTCAAAACAATGACTTTGTGCCTCCTGGCCGTAAAGAGGATTCTGTGTTAGAGACACTCTAACACTCTCCTGTCCTGTCTCCCTATCTGTCTTTTAGCAGGGATGCGCTGCTGAAGCTCTCCCCTAATGAGGCCCTTCTGGAGCTCCTGCTTGTGTTGTCGCTGGGGTTGCACGTCCTCGCTGTGTGCCCTTCCATGTGCTCCTGCAGCCGCAGCCACCGGGAGGTAGACTGCTCATGGAGGGGTCTGAGACAGCTGCCCGATGGCCTGCAGCACAACATGCGCTCCCTGAACTTGTCCAACAACCGATTTCACGACCTCGATGGCCATCTCACTTCATACACCCATCTTCGATTCCTCGATTTGTCCAACAACCGGCTGAGCCACCTTCCCGCCGGCTTACCACGTTCCCTCTGGCAACTCCATGCCGCCTCCAACCGCCTCCAGTTGCTGGAGAAGAACGACACAGTTCACCAGTGGAATCTTCGACTGCTCGACCTCTCTGACAACAAGCTGGAACGGGCAATCTTCATCAACAATACACTGATCAACCTGGTCACGCTCAACCTTAGCAACAATCACTTCAGGACCTTGCCCACCAACATGCCTGCGCGCCTCGAGAATATCGACCTGTCCCACAATTTGCTGATGAAGGTGCTGCCTGGTTCTCTGGATCGTCTCCTCAGACTAACTCACTTCTATCTGCATGCTAACCGCTTCTCCACGCTGCCGTTTGGAGTGTTGGACAAGGTGACATCGCTTAGAGTCATCACTCTGGGCGACAACCCTTGGGCGTGTCACCACTATGACGACATCACGTACCTACTCTCCTGGACTCAGCGTATACCTGCCCGCGTCCTGGGCTGCCCCTGCCACATCCGGCCTGTCTGCGGAGGGGTGCGCCCTGGCAGGACTGGAGGGTGGCATTTTGCCTCCTATAACCTCCCCCCACTGGCAGCGAGTGCCCAGGCCTTGAGCTCCATGGCCCCTGATGCCAGTGTAACAGGGTGGTGGTATTCTTCTGGTTCTGCTCTGCAAAGCACCCCACAAACCTCAGATGAGATCACATGGCACCACCCTTTCACAGCCATTAGCACCTCCACCCTGCGACCTGGAAGCAGAGACACACACCTAACTATTAATCACATCTCTGCATCTGCTAGCCCAGCTGCCGCGGAGCACATGCTCAACACTGATTTCAATCTCATCTCCGGCAAAAATAAAGACTCATCCGCTGACTCACTCCACACCACCGACCAATCCTCTTTTCTGACACAAGCTTCATTGCTGAAACACCCATCATTGCTGACGTGACATTGGCCACAGGCAGCTTCTTTACAACAGAGAGCTCCTCCATCCAAACAAAAAAGACAACCACTCTGCGCACCAGGAGTGTGAGGAGGAAAAATCAGTCCCTTTATAACAGTGGCCCGACTCTTGCTACAGACTCCTGGCAGCCTTTCCTGTGCAACCTAGGCCTTTTGTCTGTCCTTCTGCCACAAGTCCTCTGAAAGACAAAAACACTGAGTACTGTACATTTACAGCACAAACTAGTACAAGACACACAAGACTTTTGACTGTTGTAGTACTTTTACGTTTGTATACAGCATTCTCAAAAAAAGGCACACAAATACAAAGGCTGTATGAGGAGCTTAATAATTCCTGCTACTTTTATAATAATTGCTCATTGCATTATGTTTTCTAAAAATACTTTTTACAAGCATCCACTTGAATAAAAAAATAGCATTGTAATGTATATATATAAGCACATGATGGCACTATACATTCAGGTACACATGTTTCCTGTCGCTGAATGTATTCTGGTGCTTAGCTGCAACCATGGTCTACCCAGATCAATGCTGTCCTAAAATGATTGTGCATCTTACATTTTTCCCATTTTCTCCAAATAATTAATGTATTTGGCTAGTGTTGCTTTGGTCATATTTGTTTTGTATCTTATTTATTGCATTGGCTTCCAAAAAGGTACAAAGCTCAAGGTTTTGAATGAATTATTGTGCCTACAGTGTTGGGTAAGCTTCTTTAAAAGTAAAAAGCTTTGCAATGCAACAATTATTTCACATTTAACCACGGCTGAAAACATTTAACCACGGCTGAGCTTCCAGAGAACTTATTCTGGTAAATAAAGCTACTTATAAAAAAGTAGTTCAAACTACTGAAAAGAAGGATCATATTTACAATGTACATTGGATACAGATTGTTAGAAAAACATAATGGAAAAAGGCACATGCCAGCAAATAATGTCACTCAATGAAGTGGTGCAGGAATTACGTATTTTTGTAAACCAACCTGGAAGTTAGCATTGCACTGGTTCCTTTGACAAAAGGCAATTACATCCATTCTATTGGATTTTGGAATGATGCAGACTCGTTTTCAGCATGATGAAGAGTAGTTTCATTTAGTCACTCTTAGCAACCACATAGAATATATTGCTTATGCAATTAAAAAGCAGAATCTTTAAGGGCATGTTTTATGTGCTAATACAAAAAAATACCCCACTCAAATTTTTTGGAACTTTTATGAAAAAAAATGGGGCAGAACTGGTGAAATGGGGCTCCTTTCATTTTATGGCCCAAAATGCTTTGTAGTTTGATTAGTTGATGACAAAAGAAATTGAAAAAAACTTGAATGTACTGTAGTTAAACTACTACAGTACAGCTAGTTACTGTAAAGTAAACAACTGGGTTAAATGCGAGTAGTTCACTACTCCCTAACACTGTTTGCCTATTTGAATAGATGTCCTTGATGCCTGCCTGCACAAACCGTAACCACAAATCCCTCTGCCCCTTTTTGAGGTAAAGGATAGATGTAAGAAACTGGCCATGCCATGTGCAGGAAAAGGAATACAAAAAGAGTGTGTGGAGCGGTGGGAAAACCAAAGGACAATGTTGCATCACTATCTTTAAACAACTCTGTGCCAAGTACTGCTTCTGTATTTTGATCACATCTTAAACTTAAGTGTCCTTCATGATTCACTGATGCTTGTGAAAATGATCTGCATGGTGATTGAGCGCTTCAGGAATACTAACCTATATTGCGGCAGAGCAATAAAGCACAGACATTCTCAGCTAGTTTTTAAGATATTCCAATCTCTGTTGCATTAAGCGTAGAAAACAGTTTACATTTTAGAAAAACCTTGTTCCAAAAGGGGCCAACATAGTAGAAAACGCATCATGGCAAGTTGCTTTTTATACATTTAAGAAGAATTCAGTGCCAGGGAATCACTTCTCCAGTTGATTTGTGAATAGTTAAATAAAATTGCTGATATTTACACCTCTTGAATTTTGCCATAACTGTTTTTTTTCACACCACATTTCTTCTTCATTCTACAAGACTGCAACATTGGTGTTTTTAATTTCAAGCTGTTTTCACTGCGTCTCAAAGGAGAGGGCAGACGCCCTGTTTTCTTCTTTTGTTAATATTCAACAATAACATCTCCCAAGGGTCTTTGACATAGGTGTTCAATGCTTTCAAAACAACAATAAACAAGGTCATAACAATCTAACTCATTAAACAGTGAATTATTCAGATTGAAATAGCAGACATAAATTAGTTTTGAAGTGTATTTTTTAAAGGAAAGGTTCACTAAACACAATAAAAGATAGGCTTTAATCCCACTTGGAAAAACACAGCAATAACATTCTATCTGGAGGTCATTTAGTAAGCACTAAAATCAGGTCTCATTTTGTATTTGAAAAAGGAATCAAAAACTGTATGCAGATATGCTGGAATACATGCCAACCAAGTGCATGCTCTATGTGATGCCAATATTGAATGTTTACTGAATTTACTTCATAACCCTTAATTTCCATATAGTTACAAATAACAAGTCTACCAAATAAATGGACACAATAATAAACAATGAATTTGTATTAATATTTGTATTTGATTTAAGAGATTAAATGCAATGCAAGGTGCCTGTGTGCATTATGAGGTACAAAGGTATGGTGACATTCTTCGGCAAAAACCTAATTTATGTCAGTGTGATTATAAAATGTGTTGTTTGACTCCGTTACTGTCCCCCTATTATAGCTGATGCTGTGTTTCGAGTCATGCCGCTTATAAGTGCATTAAAAAGCTTGGATTTGTAATTAATGAAAAAGTTATAATCCAAGCAGAATATTACCCCAGAATATTTTAACACAAAATGCTTATATAAGGTTATATGTGTAGTCAACTACTATCTTTAAGATACTTCTAAAAAAGTTTGGACAACATACATTTGGTTTACAGGTTCTGAATGTATAAGACTCCATATTTTCAAAACAGTATATCATAGATATCTGTTATAACTTGTTTTTTACCATCATAACACTGGTGGAGCTGGTATGGGTCAGTCGAGCTCAAGAAGTTAAGAGAGGAAACCTTGCATGGAGTGAGACTTTGTGGCACAGGGAGACACAAGACTGGTGAGCAGGTACCCGGTTCAGCAAAATAGAGACACTAACCCACACAAGAACGATTAAAATATTATGTAACAGGCCATGAAGCATACCTATCAGAAGAGAGGGATGCATTTTAATAAAACGACATTCCCTTTTATAAATATCCTTAATGACAAATAAAACACACTTTACAGCTACATACAAAGATATATTTTTTGAAGATTTACTAAATAAACAAACTATAACAAAAGTCAGGCGAACATCAAACACCTGTTGAATACATTCTGTATATTTCTAGCTGAGAAACAGAAGTCAAACAGAGGAACTTGTGGTTGTATTTTTTGAGCATGCAATGAGGATCACAGAAAGTTCATTTTCATTTCTCCCTTCAAACTCAGTTTGTCCTTTAACTTTGATCTTCGTTTAATGAATTACTAAAAAATAATTTCACTTTGGCCAATATAAAACAACTATTTACCAGCTAGCTAGCTATAATTTTCATATGTAGACCTAAATTGTGGGCAGATGAAAAGAGAAATTGAGGAAACTGAGCTGAGATTATGGGTTCATTTGCAATCAGTGTTTTTTGAGATTTTTTTATGGTTCACATTGGTCATCAGTTTACCAGTAAGAAAGGGTGGAGAAAACAGAAAGTCATTCTGGTTTACATCGTTTTTTAATTGGCAAGCTGAAAACAAGCACTGAATCCTGATTGGATGTTAGTTTTGTTTCCAGCTGGCGGTCACGCCCATAGATATATATAAACATATATATGTTATATGTTTATATCTATGGTCACGCCATCTAATCACGCGATTGCCTCCACACGGTTCTCAACATGGCGGCCCCTGAGCCCGCGGCTACGTTGCTAACAGCAAGAACAGTGCCCTTAGATGGCGCCAGTGCTGAGAGAGATAACATGAAGGGAACCGCAGGGTGGCAGCGACGTTAACCGCGACGACGGCCAAGGGGACACGTTCATTGGTGAGGTTCACTTCAGCCTGGACAAGTCGGACAAGGTCGAACAAGGAAGGGAAAGCGAAGGGGGAATACAGCTGTATTAGCAGAGCGGCTGCCATTAGCTAGCGTAGCCATGTACAGTAGTAGAAGAAGTACTCCGATGTTGTACGAGTACCAATAGGCCTACATTAAAAAAAAATAATACTCTGTTATAAGTAAAAGTCCTGCATTCAAAAAAAGTAAAAGTGAAAAATAATAAGCATAAAAATATACTTGAAGTAGCAAAAGTAAAAGTAGGCCTACTCCTTATGCGTTATCATGACCCATTTCAGAATTTATATATTGAGTCACTGGGTAACTATTATGATGTGTTTTTATCACAACTGGTAAATGTAGAGCTAATTCGAATAAGTTAATGTAGGCTACTGTTGCTGGATATCTCAACCTATAAATATTTGTCAACGTTTGATATCTATTTTGTATTAGCTAATAATCTAAACCTAGAAAAGTTACTAGTATCCAAACGTTTTCAAATAAATGTAGTGGAGTCTAAGGTAGAATATTTTTTTCTAAAAATGTATTGGAGTAGAAATATAAAGTACCAATAATTAATACTCAGGTAAAGTAGAAGTAATCTCGAAATTGTACTTAAGTACAGTAAATGTACTTTGTTACTATCCATCACTGGCCATGAACAGGAGCAACATGCACTAGCCAAGGGCACTGACATGCACGCATGGCTGGGCTTATTTTGTAAACCTGAACAAAGTATACAAAACTCGGATTACAACCAACACTTCTCTGCTCAGGTATATTTTACTCAACTATTTAAATGGCAAATAATAGTTGGCTGCTACATTAATGCTCTGAATAACACATTGTGAACCTCTAACAAGTGCATGATATATTACTTATGCCTCTGCCTCCTTTTAGCTGCAGAACTTTAAAACTTCTCTTCAAAGTACTGTAGGTGCCAGTGAGCTGCAGCTGGCCAATTATTTTGTTTCTGTAGACAACACAAAGTAATGTCAGATTTCTCTTCTGGCTTCTCATAATAACTGACAAGGTGTTGAAGGCTAGCATCATTTACTGCTGCCATGACTCCACTGTGTTTCTTACCTGGTAACCCCACTGCCCTCTTGTGTTCTCATACTTTATTTGTACAATTGTTATAGTCCCCAGCAGCTTGTTATAGAAATGTGTTCAGGCAATTTCATATAAAAGTATTTGAGAACATAAAGTACAATCTTAATGCAGGCTGTTTAAGTATTTTTTGAAAAGCCTATGTTGGTGTATGTTTGTTATTTTACCTTTTTTTCTGTCACTGTATACAGGAATAGTAGAAAGTCCAGCTAAACATTGTGGCTTTTCACCTTACATGGTTTGTCTAGGTCGAGAGAAGCCATAAGGCCAATGTACGAGGTTAACCTGTGTGTGCCTTAAGACTCACCACTCCTAAAAGGTACACAAGAGACATGTCATTGCGAGCCACCTCATTGAATACACCCACAGACAAAACCACACTAATGACAGCTCCTGTTATGATTACATATGCTCTAAGTGCCCTCTTGTGGTGGTGGGCCAGAAATGATTGTTTAAACCAAATCTGCCAAGAGACAATTCTTGGAGAGGTTTTGAAGAACACCATTTGCCCCTTTTCCAAAAATCGTGTATTATTTTGTATCCTCTTTACTGAAGGTCATTATTCAGATTTGAAATCCATCCAAATAGTGTAGACTGTACAAGATTACATCTCACACCCATTCTGATGTGCAGTGACATACCCTGACAAGTCCACTGCAGGCTTAAACAATGGCTGCCAATTTCGACCTCCTCAGAGTATGCGTCACAATATCAATCATGCCCCAGAATTAGGCTGCTACCCAAACAAAGGATGCTCAAATGTTGCAGATAAAAGTTTATCAGATAAACCTAATCTGTATTGATAGTTCGGGTCTATACGCAGACGGCTCGCCGTCTCTTTGAGCCAAGAGCAATGTTTTCCAGTCTGATCGGCCGAAAAGCCAAACATGTAGGAATCTGGAAGAAATAACAAGGCGTACTCAAGCAGCCGGAAGACTGATGAGACAGGGGGGGGGAACCTTGAAGCATAGTGGGGCGGGAAGCTGAGGATATGGTATCTCTCGCTTTTGTCTCAATGGCACAGACAAGGCAAGGTCAGTTTAAAGGTCGGTTGTTGTAGAATAGGAAATGGTTGGCAACTGAGAGGATATGATGGCAGCCAGTGCAGGGAACAAAAATAAGTGAGAGAAAGAAGTGCCTGCTTATTGCACACATTCTAGCTTCTGGATAATGTAAACAAATGTCTGAGGTTTAGTATTTTCGTTCATATAAAAAAACTCATCGAAATTGAATAAAGCTAATTATAAAAGTTCTTCAGGCTAGAATCCATAGCCTTATTGTATGTAGAAAAAAATATAGCTGTGCACATGCATGAGTGTGTCTTAACTAGTATTGGAGAGTAATTAGGTACATTATTATTATTATGTATAAATTATAGGTTAAGATTAACTTTGTTGAAACCTTGTCAAAACCAAAAGCTACCCAGCAATACTGTATGTATTTGTTTTAAAGGACCTACATTACCAGCTACACAAACATTAAAGTGGTTAACACTTTAATGCATAACAAACTCTTATTCGATAATGTATTATTCTAAAATAGAGGCTGTTGTGCATAATGAGTAAAGTTTTTTTTACTTGAGATAACATTTTGATGCTAATCATTTCCTTTTCAATGCGGAGTTTGACTTGAAACTGTTTTTCTACATTACTAATTTTATCAGAGCAATACATCTATATACCTTGTCCACATCTGGGCTTAGCACCGATAAGATAAACCAGAAATTATAGTCCTGAGGAAGATTTCAACAAAATGGGCTTTTTGGGGTATAGCTCAAAATCAAACTACTTC